CGACCGATACCTAACAGACAAAGAGCACAAAAACCCGATTGTTCGTGACAGTGAGTTTAAAAGCTCGAACCAAATTCTAAGGAAAAACGTCGACTACTTCAGCACAAGGCAAAGGGAAGCGGCCGAATCAGTGAGCCATGACACGAAAAAAACAACAACTATAGAGGAGAACAGAGTCATATTTTGGTAGTACATTATTAACAAGTAATCGCATGATTTTTCTCGTGCAATACGGGATAAAGTTGCATTTGTAAATTTTTCAAAAACTACAAATTGCACTCGCCCTACAGGCTTGTGCAATTTGTTCGCATTTCAAAAATTTACTCGTGCTCTTTTATCTTAAATTGTACTCGAAATCATATGATTACCGACACTAACCGACCCATTTCGGGAGGGGATCCAGGAATCTGTGGTACGGGAGGAAAATCTTTGACTCAGAAAACACATAGTTTTTGTTTTTCCGCTGGAGACTAAGTAAGGCGTGAGGACACTTAGGGGAGAGAATGCTCCCTGTCATCTCCACTTCAATGAGAATTTTAGCTTTTTTCCATCTCTTTCTTTCGACGAACCTGACCAGGTAAATACTGTAAGACTTACTGCAGCTTTTGGCGGAACTAACCTTTATAGGGAATCTATTGCAACTATTAAATCTCTTCACTCCCCGTATGAGTAACAAAAAAATAATAAAAAATAACTCGCTTATCACCCGAAAAAAAACATGGAAAAGACAACACCCGGTCTTTTTCTAATTTTGGGTCCAAGAGGAAAGGGTCAGTTCCAGTGGGAGATATTTCTCCGAGTTTGAGCTATTTTTAAAGGTAGGCATTTTATAAAACTGAAATGGTCTGATTGTTAAATTGCTTATTACCCTCTAATGAGAGGCCCTTCAATCTTCCTCTTCAATTTTTTTAAACAATGTTAATACACAATACCTTTTTCTCCTGCTTTAAATTTCTTTGCAGGATTAACGATTGCTTCCTTTAATTCATCCAGGCTTCTACCAAAGTGCTCTGTCATTTCATCCAATCTTTCTTTGATGCTGACTTCATCCACTACCCACTGTTTAAGAAGCTCTTTATAGTGTTCTTCGAAATCAGGGTCCATGCATTCCTTTCTCAGATCATCAATAGCACTTTGGTAACCAGCTCCTCCCAGTCTCACCAATGCATCTTGGATGTCCTGCCAGTATTGATTGAATGTTGGGTCATCAACTGAGGCCTGGCTGGCATGACCATAAACTGTGTTTCTGCAGCACTTGATGCGAACGATATCTGCCTCAAGGGTTGTGTCTGTTGCGGGAGGAAGTGTATCCCAGCCGGTAGCCGGACGAACAAGACCGCATATATTCCTCAGCAAAACCATCAGTAGAGTGATATCGAAATTCTTTGATGAAACTGCAGATTTGATGGCAGGATATAGTTTTCCCCATTGTAAAGGACTAATAATCCTTTTCTTTCGAAGTGATTGTAAGACTGCATGAACTGGAGGACTTGACAAAACTGTGTGCAGGTCTCCTGTTGGACGCCTCTTATCAAAAGTCTCTCTTAAGATATGTGCACTGACATCCACCAGAAGCCTGCATAAGCGGGCGTAATTGATTGTCTCTTTTGTTGAATGAAAAGATGGGGCCACTGCTGAGGCCATTTTTCCTGAAATACAAAACATTCACTTCACGTCAAAAACACAAAGAAGCATATCAAGATACTGAAGAAACTACTGAAGAAAATTTTAAAAAACCGATATGAAGTTATCTGACCCAGAATTCACTTCGCTCCAGACATTGAGTGGATAGCGCGATCCCTCCTTCCAAAACCATTTTTAACATCTGTAAATTATGCAGGTTTTTTCTTTTTTCACATTTCCTAAAAGACCAAAGTTACGCTACAAATAATGTTCGAAATAAGTCAGGACATTCTACCACCTAGTTTACCAAGATTGAAAAGAATTGGAGTGGACGTATTTAAACCACAAACAGTCAATTTTTCCGATACCATTAAAGTCGGTATGTACTAAAACACAGACGATAGACGGTAGACGACAAACGACAGACGATAGACGGTAGACGGTAGACAATGAATTGTGTGACGGATCATGACCACGAAATTTAAAATTGTAACGCAATCTAAGAGGCTACAGCTTCTTCTCGTCTATCATTGAACTGCAACAGTTTCTTCTTGATCCTTGACAGATATACAATCACTATTCAAAGCAACTTTTCACCAAAAGTAAACCGTTTCCATGGAAACCAGAAAACACCTAAACGTTTTGGTCTCCTTTGCCAATGAACAAGTTCTTTAAAGGTTTGGTGTTCACCTTCAAATTTCTCTAGCTGCACAGTCTCTATTTTCTGCTCCCATCTCTTAAGCTCTTCTTGTTTTTGCCAACCTCCAGAGGACTTTATAAAGTGGGGCTGAGAGACTATAGCTTTTTCTCCAAGATTAGTGGTGGAAAATGAAGAGGAAGGAACGGCTGCAAACAGAGATATTAAGCATTCATGCCTTGCCATAAATTTGACATTAACAACAGGAATGCTACCATGACACCCTTGACACCTATGTATTTATTGTGTTTGGAGGGCTCATCTCCCACACAGAAACTGGAATCATTAGCTTCATCTAATATGAAATTTGTTTTGTCATACTTTGTATCAATTAAATATCATAGCGCTGCAATGATTCTTCAAA